CCCCCCCCCCCCCCCCCCCCCTGCGCCGGGCCGGCCCCCACCGGACACCAAGCCAGGGTCGGTGGCCGATGCCTCGGCACAGGGACGCGCCCCATGCGAGTCTCCCCGGGTGGGACACTCCGGCGGGGCATGCGGCCGGGTGAATCCGGCCAGCTGAGGCCCCGCCCCGGGGAGGCGGAGGAGGGCCGTGCCTGCCGGGCACATTTGGCCACGCATCCAGGGCAACGCCGACCGCGGTGGCATGTGCTCCGCCGACCCTTCGGCGGGCCGCACCGCATCGGACGGCCGGGCCTGGGCGGCACCCGATCGCCACAGTGGCAGCGGCCGGAAGATGTGCCAAGGGGCGAGCGGGGCGAGGAGGCCGGTCCCTGTCGGGATGGACGCAGCAAGTGCCCCTGCAGCGGGTCTCCGCAGGTTCTACCGAGACCGGGAGCGTGGCGCCGGGCCGAACAAGGGATGGCCCGGGCTCGCTGCATGCCAGGGCCGCTTTCGGACGCATGCCGACCCGCGGAGAGGCGAAGAAAGTGCCGGCCGAGGGGCAGCGGGGTGGGAAACAGGCAGCGGTAGAGCGAGGCGCCGGGCGAGGCAGGGGACCGGGGAAGCCATGTGCCTGGCCGATGGGAGGCGCCGGTGGCGCGGAGGACCGGGCGTCAAGGGCCGCCGGCCACGCTCCGGCGAAGGGGGAGCACGCGGCATGCGGACAATCTGAGCAGGTGGAGGCTGGTGCTGCGGCGGATTCCGCCCCCTGACAGCGCCCCGTCCCGGCGCAGAAGCTCCCCCCGTAGCCTGCTGCGGGCAGCATGACACTGGCGCGGGGTCGGCGGCGAGGGTGCCCCCGGGCGCATGGATCACACGAGGAGGGGCCCGGCACCGGTCCTTCTTTATTGGCCGGCGTGGGCTGCCCCGGAGAGCATGGCTCAGGCCCAGTGGCTGTGGCGCGACGTCGGCCGCCCAGGCGGTCTCTTCTGCCCCCCGGTCCTGGCTGGGTGTTGACACCGCGTCGAGGACCAGTGGGCCGGCAGCAAGCCCCGGGGGCCGGTGGGCTGCATATCCGGGAGGCATGCAGGACCATTGGCCATTGTGCCGGGCCCCGGGTCGACCGCGGCAGAAGGAGGCCCCCGCGATGGCAACCCACACGTTGCGGCCGCCTGGGCGGCCCGGTGAGATGCTTGCTCATGGTCGGGGCACCACGGCGTGGCGAGGCATCTCCGGAGACAGCCACGCGAGGAGACCAGGCCAACCGTGGGGGCTCTTACGCCGGGCTCCAGGGCTGGGCCCGCCCCAGCGGGCACGCTTGGCCTCGGTTGGCAGCGCCGCACCATGGGCCCGGAGGTCGCACTCATGAGCAGCCGGACCCGGGGCGACATGGCGGCGCGAGGGTGGAGGCACCGGGCGGCCGGCTCGCCACCGGGTGAGGGGGGGGGGGGACTTGCACCCAGGACCGGCGCTCGGCCAGCCAGGGCCTCGCACGCATGGCGCGACCATCATCACGCAGATTGGACAAGAAGACCGGCCCGGGCCACGGGCCGGCCCGGGTGCCGTCAAGGCAGACATCACCGCGCCGCCATGCTGCCGCCCGGCCAGGCTGCACTCACACCTGGAGCCGCGGCCAGCCAAGGCCTGGGTGGCACATGGCCGAGAAGCGGGCAGGGGATTACCGACCCAAGCCCCGGCAGGCGGAGGCAGCCAGGGCAGGGGGGGGGGGGGGCGCGTCCAAAGCCAGCCCGAGGGGCATCCCGATGCGCGAGGCGAGAAGAGCCGGCACAAGCAGGCGAGCAAAGGGGCGAGCGAAGGGGCGCCCCACCTCGGGGACAAGCGCATCCGGGAAACGCACACCGGGGCCGGGGCCGCGCCACGTAAACTGAGATGCCCTCTGAGTTACGGCAGGCCGGGGTGGCGGCCCGCCGCGCCGGGTGCCATTCCCGCGCGGACAGAATGCGGGACAGGGCGCGGTCGCGGAATGCCGCAGGGCACGCAGCCCAGCGGCGTGGGCGCGAGACAGCCGTGGCGTGGGCCGGGGGGCGGGGGGGGGCGGGACGGGCCGCGAACCGGAAAAACTCAGGGTGCGCCAGGAGGCGGGACCGACAGGCCCCCCCTCTCCGCGGATGGGCCGGCCTGGAGCCTGCTCTGTGGGCTTGGCCGCCTCGGGGAGCTCCCTGGGTTTGCCTCTCAAACGCGTCCAAGAGGAACGCGGGCCATCGGTCTGGGGGGGGGGGGGGACCTTTTGTGACGCCCTTGAGGCTCGCTCGTTCGCGCATTCTCCGGTTTGTTCTCCATCGACGGCCGGCGAGTGCCCTCAAACGCCGCGACTCGCTTGGAGGGGCGCGCACGTGCACGTGGTGTGCGTGACCCGGGAAGGCCATTTTAGGAGCTATCAGCGGCGGCGACCCCGGCATTCCTGCGGAGGGCCCGGTCCCAACGCGCCGCGGTGGAGAGACGCACAACACACGACCGGGCGAGGAGGGCCGCCACACTCCGCGTGTTGTTGTCCCACGCGCCGGGCCGGGGAGCGGGGGGGGGGGGGGGGGGGGGAGGGGGGGGGGGGGGGGGGGGGGGGGGGGGGGGGGGGGGGGGGGGGGGGGGGGGCAGAATGGCGGACGAGGAAAGGGACTGGCGAGCGGGGGAGATCGCCGTGCAGATCGCGCGCGCGCGCGCGCTGTCAGAGAGGGCCCGGCTGTGCGCGGGCGAGGGCAACAACCCCACCGCCGGCGTGTGGTGGAATGTGCGGCCGGGTGCGGCGGTGCCGGCGAGTCCGGCTGGTGTGCGGGAGCCTCGCCGGCCGGATCGGTGGTCAACGCACCGAAGGAGTGCCGCGTGCAAACGCCAGCGGCGTCGGGGCCGGCGCCGCCGTGCATTCCAGGACGAGCTCGAGAGAGAGGTGCCTGTGTGCGCGCGTGTGTGTACCCGAGAGATGCCCCCCCGCCCCCTGGCCGTCGGAGCGTGCACGCGCAGGCCGTGCTGCGGGTTCCCCCGGGGCCGCGAATGTGTCTTGCGCACCCCGGGCCGGGGGGCTCTCGCCGCGGGCCGGGGGGGCGCTCCTTCGGGCGCGGGGGGCCGTGTGGGAAGAGCGCGCCGGCATAGTCCGGGCATTGGGTGGGCGTGCGCACAGATGCGCGGGCGTCGCGGAAAATAAGGAGCAGGGCTCGGGGGGGGGTGCGAGAGGGGGATTTTTTATGTATATATCTGCCGGTGTGTACTGGCGATTATAATAATGCCGGTTTTCTGGGTGATCATTGCGGCCCGCAAGGGGAGGCCGGCCGAGGGGCGGCGGGGGAGTCTGCGTGCGACACCCGGGCGCGTATGTTTGTGTGTGTGTGTGTGTGTGTGTGTGTGTGCGGGCGCGCCCCTTCGCATGCGTGCCCGGCGGGGTGGAAATTAATGTGGGCAAGGCAAAAAAACAAGCCCCGGCCCCTGCGCTGGTGTCCCCCCCCCCCCCCTCCGGCCCCTTCCCCAGAAACGAGCCCCCTCCCTCCCCCCTTTCCGGCCCAAAGCCGCCCCACCGGGCCGCGTGCGTGCCCCGCACCCGGGGCCGGCCGTTTTCCCCGCGCCCCGGTCGCGACACGCGCGCATCTCTCTCCTCGGTGCGCGGGCTTTCCTTGGCCGAGAGATCGCCGGCGTCGACCGGCCGGGCGGCATCTCCTTCGGTGCCGGGGGGGGGGGGGGGTGCGCCCGGCCGGCGGGCCCCGGGGCATTTGCCGTGCCGCCGCCGACGGTGCGCGCGCGCGCGTGCCCCCGGGCTCGTTTCCCAGCCCCCATACCCAGGCGGCCCGGCCGCCACCAGGGGCGTATTATTGGCTGGTGCGCGGCGGGGTTCGGGGGCCCCGTCCCCCCCCCCCCCCCGGGGGGAGGGGGGCAGCCCGGCAGGCTGGCCGGGGCCATAGCCGCCGGAAAATGCCACGGGCTTGCGCGCCCCCGTGCCAGCAACGGCCAGCCGGTGCCCTTCGGGGCGGACGCCGCCCCTCTCAGAGGAGGGGGCGGCGGGCGGAGCAACAAGCGCAGCCAGACCCAACGCCCGACATTGACCGAGGCCACCCCCGGCGAGGCGGGGGGGGGGAGGCGCCGGCGCGCCAGGGCGCCCCAGCTTGGCCCCACATACCGCATCCCCCTCCCCCCTCTGGCATGCGCTGCCCGTCTGGCGGGGGTCCTCGCGACCGCGCCCGCCGCGGCCGGGCACAGGCGGCGGCGGCTGCCGGCGGGTTGGATATGGATGCTCCCCAACACCCCGGCTTCCCCCCCCCCCCCCGGGGAAGGCCGGGAGGGAATACACACTGCACCACCCCTGCCCCCCTTTCCGTCCCCGCGAAAGGGCCGTTGTTTTTGTTTCCGCCTTGGAGCCCGGGGCGGGGGGGGGGGAGGGGCGGCCTCGGCGGGCGGTGCTCAAAATTGCCCCCCCGCGACCGGGCCCCCTCCCCGAGGCGAAGGCACCCCTTTCTCGACCAGCCCCCCTCCCCTGGCGCATCGGTCCCCCCTCCCTCCCCCTGCCTCCTCCCTGCTCTCTCTCTCTCTCTCCCCCTCTCTTCGTCGCCCTTTTGCTCTCCGCCCTCCCCCTCTGCCCCGCTCCCGGCCCCCTCCTCCCTCCCTCTCGCGCGCGTGTCCTCCCCGCGCCTGCCGATGATCTGGGCCATCAGGCGCCCCACCCCCCGCCACCTGCCGTCGTCGCCGCCACCGCCGTCGCCACCGCCTCCCGAGCAGCTCTGCTGCCCGTGATGTCCGTCTTCGGAGCCACCCTCCCGACCGCCGGGCTTCCCGGGCCGGCGGATGCCACCGGGACCGAGCACCCGCCCTCCCCACAACAACAACAGCAGCAACAACAGCAACAACAGCAACAACAACAGCAGCAGCAGCAGCCCCCCTCCAGTGGCTACCACTCGCGCTCGGTTTCCATGTCCTCCTCTTCCTCGTCGGCCGGGGCCGGGTCCGGATCCCCGTCCATCAGCCGGTCCTCCTCCGGGATGTCCTGCTCGTCGGCCGGCTGGCGGGCGGAGTCATCGCGTGCCCCGCCGGCCATCGTGGTCCCCTTCACGCCGGAGCCCCCGGCGCCCGGGGTCCTGCCGCGGCTGACCGTGGTGTCCCCCTGCGAGTCGGACCTGGTGCGCATGGCCAGTCCCCGGCGTCGTGGCGGCGCGCCGGCCGGCAGCCGGCCCCTCTCCGGCGGGGTGTCCCTCTCGCGATCGGCCAGCCTGGATGCCACGGTGGCGTCCTTCTACTCGCAGGCCGTGCTGGCTGATGGCCCGGTCAGCCCGGTGCCTCCGGCGCCGGCGGGCGCCGGCGGCCCCCCCGCCGCCACGGTCGAGGAGGCCGCCGCCGCGGCCGGGCTCTCTTCCAATGCCACCCCCTCGGCGGTGGCCATCGCCACGGCCGTCGCCGCGGCCACCTCCGACGGCATGCAGCCTCCGCCGGGCGGCATCCAGCCCTTCCGCTTCCCGCAGCACGAGCTGACCACCCTGCTCCGGGGGTCCACCGTGGCGTCGGCCCTGCTGGCCAAGCGGGGGCTCGAGCTGGCCCGCACGTACTTGGCGCAGGTTCTGCGCCCGGGTGTCAGCGCCATCATCCGCCGCCGCGCGCCGCGTCTCTCCCTCCGGGTATGTGTCTTATGGCTGTGCCTTCGTCTGTTTTCTCTCTCTCTCTCTCTCTCTCTCTCTCTCTTTTGTTCTCTTGTTCTCTTGTTCTCTTGTTCTCTCTTTCTCTCTTTCTCTCTTTCTCTCTTTCTCTCTTTCTCTCTTTCTCTCTTTCTCTCTTTCTCTCTTTCTCTCTTTCTCTCTTTCTCTCTTTCTCCTCTTCTCCTCTTCTTCTCTTTCTCTTCTTCTCTCTATTCCCTCCCCTCCCCTCCCCTCCCCTCCCCTCCCAGCCCTTTCCGATCACTGACCCGGGTCTCGTTCTGCCAACGTTTGTCCCGTCCCCCCCCCCTGGCCCCGGCAGTCGTCCGGGGATCCCGAAGCCGCGGTCAGGCATTTGACGGCCGCGGTCCGGCTGCTGCTGGATCCGATTCTCCAGTCGCCGGAGCTCGCCCCACCGGGCTTCCGGGACCTCTTCCGCCTGTACTACTCGGAGGTGCGCAGCCTCGGGGGGGGCCCCCCTGTTTGCATGCCCGAAAAATGCGCCCTCCCTTTCTGTTGGCTCTCTCACCCCCTCCCCTCGGTGGTTTCTAACCTGCTTGGTCCCCCCCCCCCCCCCCGCTTCCGCCCCCCTCAGATGGCCAAGACCTTCGGCGAGAGTGCCGCCCTCGCCACCACGCGGGCCACTCTCTTCCTCCGGTTCTTCGGGCCGGCCATCGCTCGGCCGCACACGGTCGGCATCATGCAGTTCGACGACGACTCGGATTCCGAGGACGGCGAGGACGACCTGCCGTCCGCCGTGCCGGCCGGGCTCATCAGCCCCGAGCGGGTGGACGATCTGGTGGCCGTGGTCAAGGTCATCCAGATGATGGCCAATGGCTCGCGCTTCTCCCCCCCGGCCCCGGGCAGCACCGGGCCCCTGGCCAAGGAGCAGCTCCACCAGCTGTCGCTGAACCCGCTGCTGGAGGAGCTGGAGCCCCGGATTTCGGACTTCTACGACCTATTTTTGTTTAACGTGTGTCTCGATCTCTCTTTTCTCCCCCCCCCCCCCTTTCCCTCGGTGCCTCGGCTGCCGCGCCGCGGTCTCCCCCGCCATGTGTGCATATGCATGTGGGTGCGGGGG